GGGGGAAAAATCTGGAGTTAGCCCATTAGCTCATATGAATGTATGAGCCCAACGACTCAGATTGAATCCAAACCGATATGACAATCATAGATATTCGGTTGTGTTTGAATTTTATTTATTTTTCTACAAATTCAAATCACTTGATATTTTATGTATGTATTTTTCTCATCAAGGCGCAGCTAATAAAAATATAAAAGCAATTATTTGCGAAAATAAAAATGACAAAAATACCCCCTTGAATCTTTTCAGGGGTATTTTGGTTAATTTATTTCATGTAAAATATTTTTTGATATTTTTCAAGGATTTACCTATTTTTGATGAACACAAGCCTAAAATTTCAATTAATTTGGATTTGTAAAAAATAAAATAAAATTCAAACACTACCAGATATCCATGATCGTTAGATCGGTCCAGATTTAATCTGAGCCATTGGACTCATATGTTCATATGAGCTAGTTGGGCTCATATATATATATATATATATATATAGTGATATGTGCAAAGCTCCCAATCAAATATTAAACTTTTCCCCATAAAAATCTTAGCTTGAAGAACTTTTTAGGTACTCTATTTTTAGGGATTTTAAGTCGGACGAAATTGGATTGTTATTATAAATAATAGGGAAATTTATCAAAGGAAAAAGTTTATATAGAGCTGAGGCTCTAAACAATTGAATAAGAGCCTACATCAAAACTTTCATTAGAAGAGGTTGTTTTGATGCCCAAATATCCTCAAATTGATCATCACGACATCAAGATGCAGAGACATGGAAAAAAAATGGATTTCAAGTTTTGAAAATAGTGAATTTTGTAATGTATTTTTAGAGTGTTAATTTTCAAGATTTTCATAGATCTGTCGATCTACACTATTTTTTAAGCTTTAAACTTTATAAATAAAGATGAAAATATATTTTAAAGCTATCACAAAGATTTTCAGTATTGAAACCACATTTATCGATACTATTTGAAAGTAGGTGATTGTTTGGGGCCTAGGTTCCTTTATTAAATTACAATTCATCTTTTTCAACTATTTAACATTTTATGGTTTTTACATTATGAGATTGCTACAAAGAGAACATTTATTTTTTGTGCAAAGACGACATGATAATTCTTGTCTTTTAAATTTCAAAATAGAAGAGTTTTATTGAATAAATACAAACTTTGTGACTCATCCTAAGCTATCTAATTTGACATCTAATGAGTAGAAACAGTTGTGACCTTTTCTCACGACGTATCATCTTCTTGTAGACAATCCCACTTGCCCTATTCCAACTAAAATCTATACCTTGAAATCTAAATCACATTTTTAAGAGCAAATAATTAACATGTTAGTATCTTTGACAAAATTCCCTTAGTAATATCAGGGCCAATCATGCGTGTGCAAATACTATATAATGTAAAGCATTAATGTTGTACTACGGAACCTCATCTTTTTTTTCTTGGGGAATATGTGGACCACTCGTAGATGGGTTGGGGAATACATTGAATCATGTCAAAAATGTTTTACATGTTGCCATTGGAGCTCTTGGGATTCCCTCCTTATCTTCTCATCAGTTTAGTTTATTAGCCCCCTTCTCTCTCTCTCTCTCTCTCACATTTAGCAGTTGTATGTATGATTCTCCAGTTCCATTAATGCGATCTCTCTGATCCACATTTGTATCCATAAACCCCCACCTCTCTCTCTCTCTCTTTCATTTATCAATCTCAACTTGGTTTTATTTCATTCTCTCCCCATCTTTTGGTTTGTAATCGAATCCATTATCCTCCACTTCCATCCATACCCTCTCTCTATGGAAGCTCCTCCAAAACATCACTTCCTTCTCTTCCCTTGGCTTGCCTTGGGCCACATAATCCCCTTCTTCCGACTCGCTAAACGTCTCGCAGATGCCGGAATCTCAGTCACATATCTCTCTCCTCCATCTGTCTTCCCCCGCCTCCCTCCTCTCCAACTCCCCCACCACCAATCTCTCATCACTTTCCACCCTCTCTCTCTGCCTTCGATCCCTGAACTCCCTGAAGCCGCCACCACTTACGACCTCCTTCCCCACCTCCAAACCCCTTTCAAAGCCGCCTTCGATGCCCTCCAACCCCTCTTCCACACCCTCCTTCCCAAGCTCTCTCCAAACTTAATTATCCATGATTTCACCTCCTACTGGCTCCCTCAAATCGCCACCACGTTTGGCATCCCCACAGTCTTTTTTAGCATCTTCAATGCTGCCTCAATGGCCTACCTCATGGTCCCCTATCGTTTTACCGGAAAAGCCTTTCCTCCGACCGCTGCCGACCTCACTTCATCTCCGCTGGATTTTCCCCTCTCTGCTATTTACTTCCACCCTTTCGAGGCCAAACAACAGGTAGGGGCTCATACATTTCCTGAGCCTGACATCCCCTGCGCTGAACGCCTCTTTAGAAGCATTTCTAACTCCCATATGGTCATCATCCGCTCATGTTATGAGCTTGAGAAGAAGTATATTGACTATATACAAGAAAATTATCAAAGTTATTTCAAGGAATGCAGGGGTGGTGGGGATGGTGATAAGAAGTTTTTGCCCATTGGGTTCCTTCCCCCTAGGCTAGGAGGCGAGGCCCAATGGAGCAATGACAGTGGAAGCTGCCAGAAATGTATGGATTGGTTGGACAAACAACCAATCAGGTCTGTTACTTATGTGGCCTTCGGAACTGAATGCCGACTAAATCAAGCTCAAACGAATGCAGTCGCAATTGGGCTCGAGGAGTCCGGTTTCCGCTTCCTTTGGGTTAGGAGAGTCCCGATCGACGGGTTGCCTGAAAAGTTGCCAGATGATTTTCTAGAACGGGTTCAAGGGAGGGGGCTCATAGTCGAGGAATGGGTGCCTCAACCCAACATCTTATCTCACCCTTCCATTGGGGTCTTCTTCTCGCACAGTGGGACTAGCTCAGTGATTGAGGGATTGACTGCAGGCAAGCGCCTCGTGCTCTTGCCTATGATCATCGACCAAGGCCTCATTGCGAGGCTCGTGGCTGATGAGTGGAGGGCAGCCTTAGAGATTGAGAGGGCCAATCTGGAGGATGGGAGCTTCACTGCAGAGTCCGTGTGCCGGGCTGTACAAAGAGCGGTCTCAGAGGAAGACGATGCCAAGACTTGGTCCAATGCCAAGGATCTACAGGCTCGGGTTTTCGGCAACACAGAGTTGGAGAAGCATTACTTGAGCAAATTCATCGATTGCGCCACCAAACTAGATTACAGTAAGTCCTAGATATTGTGGTTTTTCAGGCCTTTTATCAGGGTATCCATGAACAAGAGTGACAAGCTCAAGGGACAATGGCAAATTGATCCTTGTGGTGGGTTATTTCAAGAATGGACCCTCTACAGCCTTGTTATTTAAATGCTTGACTCTGTAAAAAATGAAATAATGAAGAAATCAAGTCACATTTAAAAGATAGAATTTGTGGAATCAAGTCATTTTCGTAAAGGAGAATGTATTTGGTAGTGAGCCAACTAACATACTTATATGCGTGGCCCTTTCAAAATCCATCCTAAACGTGGATTTTGGATCTAATATTTTAGAGCTTTTTAATCTCAACTATGGGGAGGATCATCAATCTGGAATTTTTTTCTGAAAATTAAAATTAAAATTAAAATTTTATTTATTTTTCTCCACCATCCATTTTTGGCTTTCTAGTCGAAGAACCACTATGTAACGTCCATTGTATAGATGGGTGTTGAGGATTAAAGGGACGCAGAACAATAGATGAGTCAGCTAACTCACTATAAACTCAGTCTTTTTTTTTGGGTTAGATTAGTAGGGAATCCAACCCCTATCATTTTTAGAAATAATTAGCAGTTTCGAATGCCTAATAGCGAATAAGGAATAAGGATGGAATTTAGCATGGACATGGACCATACAGCGATTGAAAACTCAGCCGAGTCCATGTTATATATATATATATATTTGGACTTTTTATCTTATTTTTGGTTTAGTCTAGTTTTCACTAATTTTATTTTATTTTTAACAATGGTTCTTTTCTTTTTTTCTTTTTTTTTAGGATTTTCGTTTGGTCCCCGTACACTACTCGTGCGAGTCTACTCATACTTGCCCAAGTTACTCAGGCGGGGCTTCAGTCTTGAGCCTGAGTTGAGTTTGTGAACTTTGGGACTACCATAGCATGAAAATATTTTAACATCTCTCTATAAATGTATTTACCTATGTCAAAACCAAAGATGGCCCTAAAATTAGAAATGCCAAGAGTTCCCTAAGAGGATTTTCCTTCATGGAAATAATTGGAGCTAGTTGAGATAAACGGTAGAGGAACTACAAGTTTTAATTATTCCAAAGAAATTCTATTTATAAAGTTAAATAATCGCTTTGTGTGGAATTTGATTTTCAATTGAAATTGAAATTATCGTAAATGCACTTTTGATTTAATAGACATGCACAATGGTAAGCACTCCATGCCATAAAAAAATCATCCGTAGGTTTTGATGTGGCAATTGTATATAAGGTCACAATTACTTACAACCATCTATGAAATTTGATAGTTTGGATGTATTATGAAGTTCAATAAAATTTCTTTTTACAAGTTAGTCAATGGAATACATGTAGCTATCCAATTTCAAGATTAATTGTGGACCAAATTAATTGCGGATCACCTTGTAAGAAAAGATAAATATTTCATTTTATACTTTTCTTTTGATGGGATTTGTCTCTCGACCGCACAATCCTTTGGTTACCTTTAATGTGATATACACGCCTTTAAAACTAAACTGACACGATTTGCTGCTCCCGCATGAACATATTGTACATTCGTTCCATTGGGGTAAAACTAATGTTAGGGATTTTGTTTTTCTTTTTTCTTTTAATCTAAACTTTGGGGATGTTAACCCCTAGAACCTAATAATCGACTTAAAAGGAAATAAAATAAATTAGATTATAAAAAACTGTGCAAAGTTGTTCAAAAACCTAATAATTGATTCTAGGTTTGATTCCATTTTGAGTCACAAAATTGTTCAAAGTTCTTATACATTTTATAAAGATGCCAGGCCAACTGTATATTTCAAAATAAAAGGAATAAGTTACAAAAGGGTTATATAATGCACTATTGAATAGATAAAAGGATGTTTCTTAATAAAATTTGATAGTTATTGCTTCATGGGGCTAAGGATATCATAATGAGTATAAAAAACTCGAACTAGCCGACACTGTCCTTCAAAATGATTGCTATTTTCTATTCTTAAAGAGAAAAATGCCTCAATATATCTTAGGCTACAATTAAAGGTAGTTATATATATATATATATATATATATATATATATATATATA